ACTGCTACTTCTTTATTCGGTCACAAATCTTCCCCAAAATATTAGGGGGGGAAAAAAAAGAAACAATACTGAGAAATCTAGACAAAGTTATTTTCTGAAATACAAGAAGCCATTTAAGATACAAAGTAGTCCTCAAGTTTTCAGTGCACAGGTGAAAAAAAAAATGAAAGGCGTAATTTTTTTTAATAAAAAATAAACTTGCATAAGCATTCAAACAAAAACATTTCAGTATTTGTAATAAGTTTGTTCTTACAAATCACCCACACTTCTAATCAGAATATCATCATTGCTGGCAGAAAAAGTCTGTGGAAATCTCAGGTTTTTAAGGATGCACAACTGGTCACAGACAAGAGCCTGCTACCAACAAAAGTCAAGTGCTCAAACCAGCTCCCTCATTTTACAATGTGCCTTACAGAGCACAAATGCCAGCAGTAGCCACACTGAATTAACCTAAGAAATAAAGAAACTAAGTTTCTCAGAATATTTAACATCTCACAGCTGCACCCCTGAAAACATTTAGTCCTTCAAATGGAAGCACATCACACTTAACATCTGCCTGAACTTGCATGGAACACTTAAAAGTTATAACAGCACTTTTGTATTTGAACTTATTCTACCAGGACTGATTTATTACATATTTAATATAATAAACTTAATTCCAAATATACTATGTTTATGCCTAACTAATAGTTCTATGGTGCTGGTAATAAAACCTAGTAGTTCTGTTGTGCTCTTCCACAGTTCTCCCCACATTATAAATGCAAGCACAGTGTATTTAATTTGCCAAGGAACCCTTATCACCAGGTGTATCTGCATATTTTTACATAGTCAAAATCCTACATTTTTAAGTGGAAAAAGAACAAAACAATTAGCTTGTAATTTTAAAAATACAAGCTAATACTGAAGAATAGAAGCCTCAAACTGGAAAAAAAGGAAGTTAATATTCTAAAAAGTAAACCCAGGGGACCACAAAGAGGCTCAAGCATTGCACTTGCTCCATTTGCATTTGAAATAAACAGTTCACAACAATACCAGTGGAACATGGAACACTTTATAAACAGGCATAATAACAGGACCCAAGGGAAAAGCACTTCCACAGAAGTTCAAATATTTTCCATGCATGTGCAAGATCTCAGCAAATTATAAATGAATCTAAAGGACCAAGAAGGGCAAACTAACAGAATCTTGTCTGGCCTTTTCAACTCTTTCATACAAACAGTGACCAAGTACAGCACACAAACCCTTTTCTGTACTTTGCAATCAACTCAAGCTGCTCTTCAGAAAGATGCTGCCTTTAGCCAGAACTGAGGATGACTCCTTGGCTTTGAAGTCAAGAAGGATCTCACTGACTCCAAGAAAACTCCTGGCTGTGCCATGTCTCTTGCACTGGGTCACCAGCTCACAGACTCCACATTTACCTCATTGCATCTGAATTTTAAAGTTCAGGCTCCAACCAAGTCTTGGTGTTTTCAACAACTGTTCAAAACACCAGATCCTCTACAGAGCAGACTCATGTTTGCAGAGCCATGCCTGACTAGGGAGTGAACCACCTTCTAGGAGCACAGATGATCCTCATGAAGCAACAAAATCCAAGGCAGATGATTCTGTTGCAAACAGCTCCCTCTTGAAACACTGGTGCCATGCAAACACTCCAAATGAGGTCAAGAGCAAACAGGCCTGAGTTATATTAAGCCTTAAACCACTGAGTCACCTCAAAAGGAGATGAAGGATGTACTTTTTAAAAAATAATCTTTTACTACCCTTGCTCAATCTATAAACATGTCTCAGAAATATTTGGTTTTTGAAGGTGGAATTAGCAGAAGTTGGCACCTGCAGAAAGAGACAGGCACCACCAGCAAAAGCATAACAAGCCTTGAATTTTTTTTATGTTACACAACTTTATGGAAAACTTTGTAGCTTGCCAGTTGAGAGAATACATGAAACAGAAATAAAGCATTACACTGAAGCTAAACTCAGCGTGCCCTTAGGACTCTGATTCCATCAGAGAGCACAATATAGAAATTCTGTATGTATTCAAAGAAAATTTGTAAGAGAAAAGTGAAAAGGATTTTCTTTTCAACTACATCAGCTTACTTTGATTTATCTTGTCTCATGAATGTATCATTCTTGCTTCCAGTAAAGACTGCGCCACACAACTAGCTCTTCAAAGGTACTTCTAACAGACAACAGAAATTTCTCTTGCTTCTAACAGGCATAGAGAGGTCTCCTCTGCTGTAATATTCCACAACAAACTGGAATGGAATGGTTTGGGTCAGAAGGGACCTTAAATAACATTTGTTTCCAGCCCCCAGCCATGGGCAGGGACACCTTCCACTAGAGCAGGTACCTCAAAGCCCCATCCAAACTGGCCTGGAACACTCCCAGGGAATGGGGCACCCACAGCTTCTCTGTGGCAACCTGTGCCAGGGCCTCACTGCCCTCACATTAGAGAATTTCTTCCTAATATCTAACCTAAAGCTACCCTATTTCAATTTAAAGCCACTGCTTCTTGTAATGTCAAGTGCCTCTTTGAAGTGCTCTGCTGCCCCAGCCCACCTGCAGCTGGAATCAAGGTTTAATGCATGTGTCAGGGTGGAATATGTTCCCTCTCCAGCTGAGGGGCTGATGATTACACCCACTGCCCACACAACAACTGTCTATTTGCATATTTTAAGAAATTCTATTCACCATGTAATTCATGAGCAGCAAGGGCAGGACTGGTAAGGAGAGGATGTTAACATAACTGCACATGTAAGCAACATACTCTGGGTGCTCCAGCATGCTCAGGCTAACCACAAATGCATTTATACCTGCAATATTCTCCTGCAGCCACGTGGGAGCCACAGGAGGCTGCACACTCAGATGGGGGTGGCAGCACTCCATGCACTCATAAAACCTTACGGTGCTCCAACATAAATTAAAGACAAGATCACAACTGTACCAATGTGTTATTTAGAAGGCAACATTGTTATTATTATTCCAACTGGTTAAACAATAACAAAGCTGGCCTGTGATGAATATTAAGATCAAAGTGAAGTTTCAAAAGCAAGACTATTCTGAGTCCACTGTCCAAACAAAACAACGCTGCACCTCTAAAATATGAGTTACTGATGTCCTGTGTGATTTCTCACATGATCTCACAGTAGGGAGATTGACCAATTGCTCTGGAGAGACTCAAAAATCCCTCTGACTTTGGAGGAGTACTTGCAGTACAGATGAACTAGTTCCTTAAGAATTTAATAGACTTCACCATCTGTAACAGTATCCAGAGAGGCTGCACACAGCCATTCCTTCAGACTCAAAAGTCTGTTTCCTACTGAATGAAACCACAATGTGTAGCATCCAATTTATCAGAACAAGACTCTGGTGAAAGTAAGTAGGAGATAATCAGCACACAATGGAATACAAATGGAAAAACATATGAGGGAAAAGAAAGAAGATTTGAACATACATTCATGTTTCCACACCACAAAGGTGATTAAGATAATACTTAGAGCCTTCTTTACAAAGAAGTATTTTACTTTTAGTGCCCTCCACTAGTTATGACTTCTAGGACATACACTATATCCATGCCCAAAGAAGAGAATTCCAAAAAATCCCCAAAAAGTAGCTGTTCTCCTCATAGAGGCTTGTTTTGCACTGTCCAGAAAAATAAGTCCCTGAAATAGAATATTTCACAAGAAAGGTCTTAACATGGATTTGTACATTATAGAAGAGTAATTAACACATTCCATGCAAGTCTGCTATCAAGTGACCTAGCCATAGTGCTACATAAATCATTTAACCATGGTATTTTAGAGTCTCCCAACAAGGCTGAAAAACACTTAAAGCTAAACTGTGAAATTTTAATTCAAGAAATCTGGTTTTTTCCCCAAACAACAGGGATAGCAAAGAAAATATGATTCCCATGATTCCCTGTCCTGCTGAGCCAGGACAGCAAGTTCACAGGACACGGTGCTGCACGTCTCCCTTGTGCAGCCTGTATTTCCTTCCTGGAATTGAAAGAGGAGAGACATGAGCCCCATCAAAACACCTCTATCAGATGTGAATAGTCCTGAGAACAATTAGAGGCTGTCAAGGAGGAAACTGAAACTGCTCTGTCTGCAGACAGGGTGTAGTGCTGTATGTGCCTACAGAGGGCTGAGGGAGATGGGACAGCACAGGCACTGCCATGTGCTCCACTGGGAAAGCACAGGGCATGAGGAGTCAGGGAAAACATCAAAGTTACACACAGCACTGCAGACAGCCCAGCAAGGCAGCAGAATCCCAGTATGACAAGCAATACCATGAAATCCCATGAACACCTGACAGGAACCAGGCTGCACCTGAGGACTGAGGTGCTCACAGAACCCCTGAATGGGTCACGGCTGGAAGGGACCACAGTGGGTCAGCTGGTCCAGCCTCCGTGATCAAACAGGGTCAGCCCAAAGCACACGGCACAGGATTGCATCCAGGTGTTCTTGAATACCTCCAGGGAGGGAGACTCCACAGCTCCTGTGGGCAGTCTGTTCCAGTGCTCAGTAAAAGTTCTTCCTCATGCTCAGTGGAGCTTCCTGTGCATCAGTTTCTGCCCATGGCCTCATCTCCTGGTGGCTGGCACCTCCGAGCAGAGGCCGGTCCATCCTCTTGGCCCCTGACCTTTAGATTCTTGTGCACACCCATGATGTCGGCTCGCAGCCATCCCCCACCGAAGCCGAGCGCTGCTCCCGAGGTGTCTGCAGCGGTACCTGCCCCGAGCGCACTCCCACGGAGCACACACCGCATCTCCATCTTCCGCCGAAGGCACACGAGAGGAAAACCCTGCAGGGGTCAGCGCTGGCTCCTGCAGCTCCCGCGGCACCCCGCGAAGGTGCACTCGCCTCTCCCACCGCGACAGGGCCCGCTCCCTCCGGACACCGGGGCGAGGGGCAGGCAAGGACAGCGGGACAGAGCGGGACAGCGCGCCCGGGGACGGGGCACAGAGCAGTGACAGCTCGGGGAGGGTCCGCGGCGGCACCTACCGTGTACTCCCGCACTTGGCTGTGGAAGTTCTGCTCCCGGATCGTCACCTCGTCCGCTTCCATCCTTCATAGTACCGCGGCCCCCGCCAGCAATGGCGGCCGCCGCCGCCGCGCCTGCTCCTGCCCCGCCGGCGACGAGCGGGCCACCATGGCCGGAGGCAGCCCGGCTGCTCCCCCGGGCCCCGGCAGCGGCTGAGGAGCCCCGGCTCCGCTGCTCTGTCCCCGTCCGGCGGGCGCGGAGGAGGAGGAGGAGGAGGAAGGGCGGGAAGCGCCGCCTCAGCTCCTCCTGCTGCGTCACCGCGCAGCGACCCCGGCAGGGGCGGGGCCAGCCCGCGGGGCGTGGCTTACGCTTAAGTGAAAGGCGCGGGAAGTCGCGCTCAGCGGCGGGGCTAAAGGGGCGGGGGCGGGGCCAGAGCGGAGTCCGTCTGTCTTTCTTTACCGGCAGGGCGGGGTCACAGAATCACGGAATTGTTCAGGCGGGAAAGCCCCCCGAGATCCTGGAATCCGGTATCTCATTATTCCCTGTTCCCTCTACGTGCACGGGCAATCTTATTTTCTTCTGAGTTTGCAAGTAGATCAATTGTCTAAATATACACGGAAAACTATTAATCTAGGACACACTATAAATTATAGATTGTGGTCTAGCAAATCAAACTTTTATTTCAATTCAAGTATGTATCATTAGTCTAAAGAAGTTTCAAAAATAAGGATCAGAGCTTTCTGCTTATTTACAACTATTGATACATTATCCATGTTGTCAATGCCAATTACAATTCCAATTATATTAATTCCCCAGTCTCTGACCCATTTTCTTGGTTAAAAGCAGATGTTAAAGTATTTATGAAATTTTAGAGTTAGAAAAAGTAATCTTTGACTGGTGTGTTCCTTGTAGTCCTGAATGGATGCAGAAGGTCCTGCAGCTTCAGTATGGCCACAATTCCACCCTTGTTCTTTTGATTCTTGTGAAGACACAGACAAGGAATTTGCAGGCACAATCATACCAGGCCAGAAATGTTCCTGTGCTCTCTCCTCTTGAAGCCCACTGCTCAAGGAGGGAGACTTTAGGTGTTCACTGAGGCTGTAGGAACAGAATACCATTAAAACAGAGTTGAAGGAGCAGGGAGCACAGTCTAGGAGCTGTTTCTTGGGAAAAGCTGTCCTACTTTACATCTGTTTTCTGCACAGCACTTGATGCTGTCTGGTATTATTAGTTCTCTGGGGTTTTCTTGTTCACCTCTTCCCATTTATCTTCAATCTCTTTTTCTTCTTCACATGCTGCGAGTGATGAAAGTGTCCCTAGTTTCCAAGATGAATTTGACAAAGAATTAGGCTTTTAGTTGAAGCCTAGTTCTAATTTTGACTAGAATTAGGCTTGTGCTGTTCTCTGCTCAGGAGCTAGTCCAGACTGAGCAGTGTTACTGAAGGCAAGGTTACAGGTAGATAAAATATCTTTTATTATAACAAACACAGCTGACAAGAAGAGACAACTGGCATGGGCAAACCTGACCCCAGGGAATCCAAACTCTCTTAGAGCTGCCTATAGAGGTATTGGAATAGAACAGGCAGCATCCCAGCTCTCATCATCTTATATAAAAGACCCACACAATAAATGGCAATGGTACTGGAGCCAGGCTGTTAGGAACTGAGTGTTAGGCCTTCACTGGATTTGTGATGGAGACAGAAATGCTGACACCAGAGCAAACCTGCTCTAAGAACCTGGGAGACCAGGCAGCCCAGTCAAAGAGGAGGAACAGGAACAACCAGAGATTCAGCCAGCAGCCCAAGCCTGAGCTGAGGGTTAGTTCCTGCGATACCTGGGAAATGACTCACCCACTGTCAAGAAACAGCAATTCAAGCATTTCTAACATTATCTGCAGGCATATCAAACACTGGAAGATTGTAAGGAAAATTAATTGTATTTTTGTAGCTTATAGAAATTGCGATTTAAAAGACCTGAAGCTTCCACTCCCACGTGGGCAATATGTGTTCTTTTTAATTTACTGAATTTGAAGTAAACCCAAGGAGATATAGTACATTATTTGTCTCATACTGCGGACTGTCAAGTTCTTTCTTCCAGTTCTAGCAGATGAATCATCAGAAACAACACACACATTTATATTTGCTGAAAAGGCAGGGGAGGGGTGGAAATAGCTTCGATCCTTTCCTGGGCAGAAGTTACTGCTCAGTTCTGAGGTATCTACATCACAAAGGAAGGTCAGAGTAGCCACCACAGCAAAATCTATTTATACCAAAGGAAATTCAGTCTAAAGTAGGCAGCTCTTGCAAACTGATGCATGTATTGATCTGATGGGAGTACAGAAGTAGTAGTTTGAAGCATACTAGATGTAAAACTACCAAAGCAAGTGTGTGGTACTTTACATCAGAGAGTGGTTAAACACCTCTAGGTGTTTCTCACCCACATCCCAGACAAAATGAGACAGTGCTGGGGGGGCTGTCCTCAGCCATTCTTAGGACCTCCTCAGTAACCCTAAGGGACCTGGTGTAAGCTGTACATGATTTAGGTGTAAACAGGAAACTTTCTCACACTGGTAATGTACACATACACACACACAAAAGCAGTAATAGAACCCAGACTTCTTTTAAACTTATATTTGGTGATCCCTAATCCCTCCACATAAAAATTGAGAAGATTGATGAGATTTTGCTCAGTTTATTGCTTTTCAGCATAGTTTTAACACATTTTTTTTAGCTCCAGGATGACTGAGTAAGTAACTGGAACCCTGAATGCCCAAGGAGGACTTTATGTGCACAGGGTTTGCTCTGAGTTTTTCCAGAAAAAAAGTGTTGGGATAGTAAAGATAATAAAATTCATTAAAATTGTCAAAGATGGAAGTTTCTAAAGTTGGAACTATTTCTCTAGGAAGGTTCCCTCAGAATTTGCCAATGGATTTTAAAGCACTCTTTAAGTGTGAATGCAAAATTGGCACTATGCCTTTAAATCTAAATTTATCTCACTGCATTTGAGTAGGTGATACCTTCTTTTCAAATCATCCTTCAGACAAATGAAGCTTGGTCTAAACAGAAAATAGGAAGTTATTCTTCCATTTAGCATGACTACTTACATACTTATATTCAGGATATTACCAAAGAATTGGTCATATTGAAGCCCAAAGCTCACTTTAATGTGGTTCCAAGAATGACCACTGACTTTTAAGAGAACTTTGGGCTCCAAAGTTCATGCCACAGGCGAGATCCATCACTTTATAGTCAAAAGCCAGTTATGGAAGAGAAAAAGAAATATTCAAAAGTTAAAATATCTTGATCATGGTATAAAAAAACACCAAATGTTATCATATTTATGTACATTAAGTTTATTTATTAGGTGATTTTTTTCAGTGTCTTATATTTGGTAAGCTAAAGCATAACAAGAGTTGCATTATAACTTTAGAAATCCAACTCAATCAGTCTTGGATCTGGATTCAGCTTAAAATATTGCTAACTTATACTTTCTATTTCTTTGGGTTTTTTTAGAAAAAGAAGGGGAGTTTTTTGGTTCCAAATTCTTCTAGCCTATATTTTAATTGCATCAACTCAATAACAATAACTCCCCAGTAAAATGCTATATTATAGCACTATATATATATATATTAACTTTTTGAAACAGCCAAGGGAAAGAAATTTAAATTAAAAATTACAATGTCAACACAAAAAAAAAGAGGATATAAACTAGTTTAGTATAAACTCCTATAGGTATGTGCTGAATTTTATATATATATAGTCATAAATGTATTGATTAATATACACTCCCCCAAAAAGAAGAAAAAAGTACAATCAAAGTATTACCATTTTGAGCAAGCTTTTAAAATTAACATTTTAGTAAAAATATACACTATTTCTAACTTAAAGTTGGTTCACTTGTAAAAAATTAAGTGAGATTGTTTTCTATAACAAGGAACCGGATTTGGTAATGAATAAAACCCCTTCAAATCCTTAAGTTTCCTTCACTGACAGGAGCCTAGAGTTGGAAAACCTGCAGAGTTTATTATGGCAGGAGTTCAGTGCTGTCAGGTAAAAGAAACATAAGTCACATTATGAAGCTAGAACAGTTTCTCTTCCATATCTAGGCAACATGAAGTGACTGAAAGCTCATTTTGCCTCCATTCACCCTTAATGGGTTTTTCATGTCCCATTGGGAGCATTCAAAGCACTCCTGAAAGCAAAACAAGGCAAAACTCACACCACATTGCAGCTTCAACTTGATTAGGAATAAAATGAAAGGTAATATTCAAGGATATGCAGCTGCACCTGCAAGCCAAAGTTCACCTGCTGTGTAGATATGAACGAGGCCAGGGCCATCTGTTCCATGCTGTGTGCCCATGGCTGTTTGGGCTGATTCTTCAAATAGGAATTTATTGGTAAAATTCTGGAACTGCTGTCTGGGTCAATGTTGTTACAGAAGAACCAAAGAAGCACATCAACTTAAAAAAAAAAAAAAAAAAATAAGTGTCCCTTTCACCACTCTGTGTCTGGTTTTAGCTCAGAAATTAGTGTTAAGCTCAATCAGCCTTTAAAAGGCATTCAGCTAGAGTAGATGGATGAAAAGAGTGAAAATTCATTACTTCTCCTTATGGTGTGCTCAATATTTAATTCCTGCTAATCACAATTCTCCTCAAAATCTCCTTTTCAGTCAGTTAAAAAGATTTACTCTAAGTAAATTTACCCTTTGAAGATTTTTCTTAACCGTGAACTCTTTTTTTTCCTTTCATCCCTGAATTGTCTCCAAACTTTTAACCTTCTTATTAAAATGCAGACACGAGAACTGAAAGCAGTATTCTAGGCTCAGTTTCAGCAATTCTATCAAGAGATGTAAAATCACCTTATTTTATGCTTTTGTTACAGACCATTTAATCATGACAGAGGAAAACAGCACACAGATTCAGAGGTGAAAAACATGATTGCTTCCCAGAAGTAAATGGAATGTGCATTTGAAGACACTTTTATCTACTCCTGTCTTCCTGCTGTCAGAGGCCTGGCTGTAAGTAAAAGGCAGCCTTGTGGATTTGATTGCCATGTCCACTTACTTCCTTACAAAGAGTAAAGCAAATTTTAGGGACATTTTAATCCAAATGCTACAGCAATCATTGCCTTGACATAGAAATTAGTGGTTTCCTCTGAACTTCACTCATACCAACCAGCAGCAATGCGTAATTTCTATTCTGGATCACTGCCCTGCAGATACAGCCCTGCTTCTGTAGAAAGGACCTCAGTCCCTTGTTCCTAGTGCATTCATGGGATTGACATAGAAATTAGTGGTTTCCTCTGAACTTCACTCATACCAACCAGCATTCATGGGCT